GAACATTTGCATTGTTTAATGTATGCAAGCCCCGAGCATTACTATCGTTGATCATACTCGTGCACATTCGAGCTGGGACTTGACAGACCGACATGTCCAATTTTATGTTCGTCAAGCAGGCTTCTTTGAGTGCTCACAAATTAAATGGGTGAGACTTGATTGGGCTCTCTTGATGGCACTGATTGAACATTGGAGATCCGAGACAAATACATTCCACTTGCGCCAATGAGAGTTGACGATTACATTGTAGGATATTAGGGTTTTGCTTGGACTCAGAGTGGATGGAGATGCTGTCGCGGGTAGCGACGACTTTAATTGGGTAGGGAAGTGCGAAGAATTGCTGGGTCAAGTTCCTTACATGATGGGTGGTAAGATCAAGCTTGAGTGGTTGAGAAACAATTACATGAATGTACCGATCGATGCGATCGAGGAGATCATCAAGATGTATGCCCGTGCATACATACTTCATATGATCGCTACTATTCTTTTTCCGGATTCCATGAAGGATTCGGTGCATGTGAGGTGGTTGCCACTCCTGGAGGATCTTGAGGATTGTGGAGAATTATCATGGGAGAGTGTCGTGTTAGCGTATTTGTATAGGGAGATGACCAAAGTGGCACTTATTCTAAACAAAAAATTCAAGGGTTGTCTCACTCTGCTACAGATATGTTCTTGGGAGAGATTGTATTTGGGTTGCCCAGATTTGAGGGAGACTCGTGCTCTCGATGACCATATTCCGTTAGGCTGCAGGTATTACTAAGTTATTTGGTAATATATATGATTGCATGTAATTTTATACATTTTTTTTAATCTATACTAACCCATTGTATATAAAATAGATGGAATGTGTCCAGATCTTGGCATACCTCACCAAATGGATGATGAACATGTATTAAGTCATAATATCTAAATATATTCAATCATTACATTATTTATTACTGATATCTGCTTTTCTTAATCTTTTTATAGGTCAAGTGGATGCCATATGAACTAGTTTTGGAGTCACTACCAAATATTTGCAGGGAAGGTGAGGATGTATGGCATTCTCGCGTCCCGATCATATATTTTGAGATTGTCGAGATGCACGTGCCCGACCGTGTGCTCTGATAATTTAGGCTACAACAACATATTCCGGTCCCTGTGGAGAGAATAAAGAGAAATCCCAGAAAAGATGCACATCATGCAAATTGGGAATATATTTGAAATGCTTACATCGGGAGGTGGGAGTTGAGAGAGGAACAAGTAGTGATGGAGGGGGCTGACGCACCTGACCTAGGTGTGTATTTGCGGTGGTATTGGGGGATTACTCGCAGGTGGATATTTTAGGAGAACAAAGTCCCTGAGGAGTACATACCAAGAGGCCCGGTTGAGAGAGAGTTGGTAAGTGTATAAGCAAAATATACAGTTATTTTGTGAGTTTTATTTTGTTATCATCCACTTGATAATAATTTTCTTTCGGATTTTATCTTATAGGTACAAGAGCTCGAAGAGCTTTCTACTATGGCGCATGATGCATTGCGAACGACTATCAAGCCAGAGCCGAGGAACACGTTCCTTTGCATGATAAAAAAGATTCGGTCCGCTCTTCAGAGGACGCGTAATGCAAGACGTGATGGACATAAGATGTGATCAATTGAGTACAGGCGTCGACGGTTCCGAGGACACACGGGGGCAGGCTCAAGCCGTGCACATGATGAAGCTGGCGGCTCACAGCAGACTCAAGCCGAATGTTCACAGCCGGTTCGAGTCGACGAGGATGTCATGCACTCCCAACTTCACACACAACCGGACGAGGATCTCATCCGAGCTCACATCGAAGGTGAACGGGGAAGGGGGATAGGAAGAAGAGGGAGAGGGAGAGGGAGAGGGAGAGGAAAGGGAGTTGTAAATATTTGATAAGTTTCAATATACTTGATAAGATTTTTTTGCGTTTGAAACTGAATATTATGTATCCGATTGAGTATTGATTATTAGTATGTGAATTGTATGGTATGTATCTGATTGAATATGGATTTTTAGTAAGTGAAATGAATGTTTACGATTATGGATTGCTATGTGTGTTATTTGTGATTGTGATTGCATTATAGATTGATAAATGTGTACCATTAGTTGGTGGATTGATATGTACTAACAGGAGTTTGATTTTTCATCTGAAAGTGGGGAGGAAAAACTCTGCAAAATGGTCGAGGTTGGGAACCCCGACCATTTTGTATACCTACACGAAATGGTCGGGGTAAGTGCACAAAATGGTCGGGGTTCCCAACCCCGACCATTCTGCCTTAGCTATTTACTTCAAAAGTCTCTGCTAAATGGTCGGGGTTGGGAACCCCGATCATTTCGAAAGGGCTTTCGAATTGGTCAGGGTTGGGACCAATTAGACAGTGTGCTAAATTAGTCGGAGTTTTACCAACCCCGACTAATTTAGCCTGTATATTACCAAGGGCGTGCAAAATAGTCGGGGTTGGCGACCCCGAGTATTTAGTGGCGAGATAAAAAAAAACCGACCTATTTTGTGGTCACGGTCTGACGTGGCCACGAAATTGGTCGGTTTCTGTAAATAATATGCGAGTGGGTCGGTTTTAAAAAATAAAAGTGAGAATGAGTTTAAATGGAAAATTTCTTCTTGCGTATATACGTAGCTTCATGTTCATGTACTCTCTGACGTGTCAAAGTGTTACCCTTTTCTTCCCATCATTTTCAATTATTTTCTCATCATTTGAAAAATTTGGAGGAGAAACTAAAAAAATAGAGGAAGGAGAAGAAATTAATTTAAGGAACAGTTGAAAATGAAGGCAAATTCTTTAAATTCGTTCGGATTTAGGGGAGGTTAGGTAGCCATCTGCATGGTGCAATTTGGATCCCCATTTGCCCTAATTTCAAGGTACAAATTCAAGTATTGTTATTGTTTTTCTTTTTGCGATTTTTTAAATTTGAATATGTAATTGTGAGTTTTTGCTCGTTAATTAGGGGGAAGTTTCTGTGATTTGCATAAAAATGAATTCCATTCTAGAAAACGACGAGGAGGACATCAGCCGTCGAGGTAAATTGATGTTATTTTTCTTGAATTATTTAGACAGTTATGGCTTTTTACCAGTGAATTTAGTGTTCCTGAATGAATAAATCCACTCAGCGTTAACTCGTATACTAATAGTTTGAACTATTGATCTATGTTGTTGATTGAATAAATCCTCGTTTTTATTATTTTTTGGTATTTTATCAAATTCAACATTAGAGTTGGAAGTACTCAGAGAAACATGAAAATTTTGTATTAGTCCGAAGGAGGAAGAAGAGCAAATCATAAATCATTAAGCTGGAATTTTTCAAGTGTAAATTGGCCCCATGTCAATGGGAAATTGAGCAAGAAGAAGTAGAGAGTGGGAAATGTATTGGAGAAGTTTGAGGCTAGTCTTGAAGTGTTTAGTTTATTTCGTTCTCTGAAAAACTGAGGGGTGTTGTTTCAGGTGGCAGGTTGCTAAGCTGTAGTAACGGCTATATTTATCCCGAGGATATGTTCTATATTATGTTTATGAAGATAATTTTCTGATATTGCATTTGAGCATTTGCTTATAAAAAGTCAGGTAAGACGGTGTTAGCGAGAAGAAGGAGCTCAACAAGAGAACAAAGGAGACGTTATTTAGAGGAAATAATGTGCATGATGTCAATCTTAAAAAAAAAGTAGCTATAGTAGAGGATAGGCGGATTGTTCTACTGAGTTTGTGCTCATCTGCATATTTGTCCGAGCCACCTAAAATTATCTATTTGATTGGATGTGTGTTTAGGTTTGTTTGCCTGCTATGCCTCCCATCTGTTTTACTAATTTAGTGTTCTCTTGATTTGTTATTTTATAGTTATAATTTG